AGCTCTGGAGTTGGCAGGGAGCCCGGTGCTGGAATCGCAGGGCCCTGTGGGTATTGGCAGAGCTCTGGAGTTGGCAGGGAGCCCGGTGCTGGAATCGCAGGGCCCTGTGGGTATTGGCAGAGCTCTGGAGTTGGCAGGGAGCCCAAGGCTGGGCTAGCAGGGGGCTGCGGGTCAGGACTGAGGGGCACTGGCAGAGCTGGGCGGGTGCAGGGAGGAGCCCAGGGCTGCAATAACAAGACAGGGCTGCAGAGGCACTAGCATGGCTCATTAGCGCTTCGTCTCCCGCCTGCAACTCTATCAGACAGGAGCTGGGAGGGGACGGGAAGCCGCTCACCAGATCTCCTTCTCCTCCAGGATCTGCATGTCGTCCGAGAGCAGCCGGCAGGCGAAGCCGATGTTCACCGCTGTCTCTGCAACGCACAAGCTGCTGCTATGACAGGGGTCCCCCGGCAGCAGGGGAATATCCCAGCACTGCCCCCACTCACTCCTAGCACTACCTATACAGCTCCCAGCATGGCTGGGCAGCTCCCACTTGCATGGCCAGCAGGAGACAGGTTCTCGTCCCGCTCTTGCTGGGTGACCTTGGGCAGGTTACTCCCTCTGCCTCAGTTTCCCCCTCTGTAAAATGAGAGAGACCCATGGAAAGTGCTACATGTTATTGTCCCAGAAAGAGCCCAGCAACGCAGAAGAAATTCAGGGAAGTGGGGGCCCTTGCGGGGGAGGATCCTGCCCCAGGCAAGAACAGACAATTCTAGTCCAGCTCGGAGGTTCCACATGGATCGTACCTTGTTTATCTCCAGTCAGCACCCACACTTTAATGTTCCCCTTTTTTAGCAGCTGGATGGTCTCAGGGACCCCGTCTTGCAACTTATCCTCAATGGCCGTGGCTCCGAGGAGCTGGAGAAGGAGGAGCGTGGGAGGGTTTAATGATCTGTGCATGCAGGATGGAGCGAGGTGGGGCAGGATTGGAAGGGGACCAGGATCCAGGGGTGGGGCTTGCTCCCTGGTCTACCCACCCACCCACAAATGATCTCTCCATCACAATTCTGCTTGCCACATCCTGCAGACTCCAGCCCAGGGGGGGAGTGACCAAAAGCCATTCCCAGATAATGGCTGTTCGGTGGCCCCTACGTGAAATGAGTTGGTGGATTCTCAGCCCAGTCTCCAGTGGGGAGATGCCCACATCACAAAAAACAGCCATGACAACTGGCCTTGCTGTGGGCAGAGGGCCACGGAGACCAAGCGGCCCTCTCCCTCCTCCAGGTGGGCCGTGCAGGTCAACAGCGAGCAGGGGAGGCCTTTCTCCCTAAGCCCATGTTGGCAAACTGTGACACCATCAAGACCCATGGAGTCACACCAGGGATAAGATGCTGCAACAGCCACGCCAAGCCAGCCCCGAATCCTGCCTCCTCTCACCCTTACCGGGCCCCCACTGAGTTCCCGGCCCTTGGAGAGCCTGATCCTACCTGGAGATCCTGCTCGATCTCCTCGTACACCTTGTCCAGCTCTTCGGCACGGTCCTGCAGCAAGACGCTGGCCTCATGGTGCTTCTTGCTCCACTCAGCATAGTCCTCCTCCTTCACCTCCTTGCTGGCCAGGCACAAGGTCCTCAGGGTCTCCTCTGCGAAGCTCTGCAGAGGGGCCGGACGGGGATAAAGCAGGCAGGTCAGTTACACAGCAGCTAAGTCAGCCTTAACCTGGCGACGGCGGCCGTCACATGGCAGCCACCACACCACCACTGCCAGTGCAGTGCAGAGACCTCTAGGAGGCTACTCAGCTACAACAGGGAGCCCCAGAGGTCCGTGGTGACCCCACCGACATCCAAACGTCCTGAGTCAGGTCCCGGAAAATCACCAGGGTGGCTCAAAAGTCATGAGATTTTTGTAACCAATAATAACTGGGGGGTTCTCTTTCATGTGCCTTCTGGGTTTGAGCCTTTGGGGCCCCGTTTTCAAGCTTTTCTCCATGAAGACTAGAAAAACATCTTCTTTTTTAAATGAAATCTGAGCTTCTCCAATGGCGGATTAGCCACTGGGCCAACAGGGCCCATGACCAGGGGCCCTGGCCACTTGGGGGGGCCCGGAAAAATGGGCACCCCCGTGCCTCAACCCACTCTGCCCAGCACTCCTGCCGGGAAGCGAGGTCAGCATACGGGGACTTGCCCCGCTCCACCCACCTGGCGCTCTTGCTGGTGACCGGGGGAAGCCCCTGTGCCCTGACCCTGCTCCCCAGCAGGAGTGCCAGCCGGGCGGAGCCAGGGAAGCCCCCGCGTGCCAGCCCCGCTCCCGGCAGGAGTGCCATGTGCGGGCATGGGGCAAGCCCCCACGCCCCAACCTCATTTCCCCAGCACAAGCGTGGGGAGGGGGGACTGCAGGCAGAAGGGGTGGGGAGGGGCTCCCACTTGCTCTGGCCCAGGGCCCCCCAAAAGCTTAATCTACCTCTGAGTGCCTCAGCTAATCACATGACTCCAGGAGCTGGGAAAACACCAAATATGATGAGAGCTGCTATAAAATCCCAAGAGTTGCTGATGCTGCTGTCAGAGTTTCAGGGTAACTGCACCTGTCACCCCTGGACGTGGATGCACCGGGGGAGCCAGGAACAAACTGGCAGAGGGTGCCAGGCCTAGATCGCACTGGCAGCTTTGGGGCCCTCGTACCATGAAGGGTTGAGACTGAATCAAATCATGCGGAGCTAAGGAGACAGCTGGAGCAAGGGACCGACAGTGAGAGTGAGCTCACGCCCGGGACGCAGGGGAAAAGAAAGAGCCGTAAGCCCACCCCTCCCAGGGCTGGTCCCGCACTCACATCCAGGGCCAGCTGGGTGAAAGCCCTGGTAGGCCCATCTTCACGCAGCCTCTCTAGGATCACCACGTCCGCCCCCTTTGTGTAGAGCCGGATCTTCCCCTCGGGGTCTCTCACTGCGAGGAAGGAGCCTGCTTAGCCACGGAGCGTTCTGCGTCTCCCCCAGCCCCACGGCCCCTCCCCGGCTGCCGAGGAAACTGTGGGGCAGAGGGCAACACCGTGGGGGTTGGGGAGACATGGCAGCAAGCAGGTGGCATCGCCCTGAGACTGCCTTGAAGTGGCAGCTCACAGACCCCCCGCCGTTAAGGGCCAGGTTTGCATAAAGGCACCAGAGGCGCCCAGCAAAGCAAAGGGAGACTCTCAGGGCTGGTTCTCGGTGGGCTGGCCACACCCCCCAGGGTGACCGCTGAAAAGTGCCACTCCCATTCGGGGGTCTTCGCGGGTGGGAGCAATGCTGCCCTCCAGCGGCTAGGCCTGCAGCGATCTGCAGTGACAAGTGCAGAGTCCTGCACTTAGGACAGAAGAATCCCATGCACCGCTACAGGCTGGGGACCGACTGGCTAGGCAGCAGTTCTGCAGAAAAGGACCTGGGGGTTACAGTGGATGAGAAGATGGATATGTGTCGACAGTGTGTCCTTGTGGCCAAGAAGGCTAATGGCATTTTGGGCTGTATAAGTAGGGGCATTGCCATCAGAACGAGGAACGTGATCATTCCCCTCTATTCAACATTGGTGAGGCCTCATCTGGACTACTGTGTCCAGTTTTGGGCCCCACACTATAAGTAGGATGTGGAAAAATTGGAGAGAGTCCAGCGGAGGGCAACAAAAATGATTAGGGGGCTGGAGCACATGACTTATGAGGAGAGGCTGAGGGAACTGGGATTGTTTAGTCTGCAGAAGAGAAGAGCGAGGGGAGATTTGATAGCTGCTTTCAACTACCTGAAAGGGGGTTCCAAAGAGGATGGATCTAGACTGTTCTCAGTGGTACCAGATGACGGAACAAGGAGTAATGGTCTCAAGTTGCAGTAGGGGAGGTTTAGGTTGGGAGGGTGGTGAAGCACTGGAATGGGTTACCTAGGGAGGTGGTGGAATCTCCTTCCTTAGAGGTTTTTAAGGCCTGGCTTGACAAAGCCCTGTCTGGGATGATTTAGTTGGGGATTGGTCCTGCTCTGAGCAGGGGGTTGGACTAGATGACCTCCTGAGGTCCCTTCCAACCCAGATATTCTATGATTCTATGATAAGTAACTAGCCCCCAGCCGGCCGGCTCACCCACGATGGACATCCTCTTGCGGACGCTGTTGAAGTCCAGCATGGCCAGCATGCTGTACGTCCGCTCCGTGCCCAGCTCGCTGAGGGTGATGGTGTCCTGTGTTCGGGAGAGGAAGACGTACCCGAGGTTCCTGGCTGCCGTCACCAGGGCCTCTTCGTCCGGCGAAGCCGCCTGGTAAACCAACTGGCCTGCTAAAGGAACAGAGCGAGAGACAAGAGGCTTCCCATCAGGCTTGAGCAGAGTCAGCACCCAGCAGGACATCGGCTTTGCCTACAGGGCCATGGTCAATCTTCAGCCAGGGCTACAGGGGCTTCCAAGCTCCATGCGAATGGCTGTCTCTGACCTGTTCATTCCCCTGGCTCCTGGATGGCACCATTTGGCTGCCCCCCTCGGGGCATCCCCTGAATCTCTGCTCAGGGTTGCAGGGATTCACGTGGCCTCGTGCCATGATGGTTCCCCAGAAGCCAGAGGATTAGCCCCCCGACACCTTTGTTCCCCGGCTCGTTACTTTTAAATGAACACCCCAGTATGGAGCTAATCCCCTGCTTCATGTGGGCAGAAATGCAGCTCGTCACATGCCGGGCACCGTGCTGCTTCCTGGTCAAAGCTCGCTCTTCCTGCTGCTCGGAGGAGCGCCCCGCGCTCTGTAAGGCTTTGGGCCACTGGAGCAGCTACATTGATGCTGGTGCACCTGTGCGACCCGCTAGTATAGATGTGACCTGTCCCAGCATGGCATAGATGTGGCCTGCCTCAGCGCCACCCCCTAGTGTAGACGTGGCCTGCCTCAGCGCCAGCCCTTAGCGTAGACGTGGCCTGCCTCAGCACCACCTCCTAGTGTAGACGTGGCCTGCCTCAGCGCCACCTCCTAGCATAGACGTGACCTGCCCCAGCCCCACCCCCTAGCATAGACGTGACCCATCCCCGCGCCACACCCAGCGTAGACGTGACCTGCCCCAGCCCCACCTCCTCGCATAGACGTGACCTGTCCCTGCGCCACCTCCTAGTGTAGACATGACCTGTCCCAGCCACACCCCCTCGCATAGACGTGACCTGTCCCCGCGCCACCCCCAGCGTAGATGTGACCTGCCCCAGCGCACCCCCTAGCGTAGACGTGACCTGTCCCAGTGCCACTTCCTAGCGTGGATGTGACCTGTCCCAGCCCCACCCCCTAGTGTAGACGTGACCTGCCCCAGCGCCACCCCCTGGTGTTAACGTGCCTTGCACCCCAAGATCAGGTTACCCCGTTTCACACTGCCACGCTGTGATGCCTTCGGGGGAAAGGGAACAATCTTCCAGGTTTGGGCTTTCTTGACTTTTGCTAGAAAAAGGGTTGGTTGTTTTCTTCCAAGCAGCAGGAACCTCAGTCCAGAGCAGAGCCCGGTTTCGCAAGCCGAGGTGAACCACCTGCCCTCTAAGCCTCTGGAGACACCCCCTGGCTTTGCTGAACTGCGTGTGTTTGGGATCAGTGCCCAGAAAGTATCAGCTCGAACCAACTCCAACCAGGGTGAGAATCCTCGGGGGGTTCCCCTTTCGCTAGGCTTGGCATCAATTCTGTATTGGGGTGGGGGGTGATGGGTGACTGGAGCAATCAGAGGAACATGGGCAAAGCCCACCCATCACCCTGGCAAGGGGCCGGTTCCCAGCATCCCTCCCCCACTTTGCGGCAGCATCCCCTTCTGATCTGCCCTGGGAAATCTCTTATCCCGAAGGAGGCACTAAGCCCTCAGGCACTGCTGGACCTGGGACCTTGCCCCCAGTGACCCTTCCCACCCCACACAGAGCTCTGGTGCCTGGGGAGAATGGGCCTAAGGTGAAGGTCCTTCAGCCAGCCAGGCTCATTTTTAAATGCACCGGCCTCTGGCCTCAGACATGGCTGCTGAAAGCAGCAAAGTCCGGGAAGATGGACAGGCCCCGTCAGAGCCTGGGGCCCTGTGAGAATTCCGCGGCGCTCCCCAGCCAGCAGAGCGGTGGGGGGGGTGTCATTTCCAGACCCAACTCACTGTCTTTCTCCTCCACCATGACGGTGTGGCAGAGGGCCAACAGCCTCAGGAACTCCCTCGTCACTGGATCATCGTTCTGCAGGACGGTCTCCAGGAGTGCGGGGTCGTGAAACTCGGCCGTTCTGTCCACATAGGGGTTCCAGCTCACACTGGCTTTCTGCAAGAGGAGCGGGCCAAGACGTTCATAGGAGCAAGGAGCAAAATCAAAGAGCCAGGCAAACCCGGCTCAGCACCACGGGGAGCACCTTTCTCCAGAAGGAAAAATCAAAGGGCCTGTCTACACTGGGCGCTGGGGGTGGGATTCCCAGCCTGAGGAGACATACTTATGCTAGACCGGATTGCACTAAGGTGTTAAAACTGGAGCGTAGCTTCGGCAGCACGAGCAGCGGGACGGGTTAGCCACGCTGAGCGCCAGCCTGTGGTCTCAGATGGGGATGTACTCAGGGCAAACGAGTCCGTACTCTGGTTTCAGCACCTTGGCTCGATCAGAGCTAACGCAGGGATGTCTCTTTGAGCGGGAAATCACCCCCCCATCCCCTTCCAAGTGCAGATGGACCCTAAGCTGGTTCCATCTCCCTTAGCAACCTGTCTCCTACCATCCGTTTCCCCTCTAATGGGCAAAACAGGCCAGTATCTCACCCTTTATATTAAGGATCTGTTTATAACACATTAATACACCTCTACCCCGATATAACGCTGTCTTCGGGAGCCAAAAAATCTTACCGTGTTATAGGTGAAACCACATTATAGCGAACTTGCTTTGATCCACCGGAGTGCGCAGCCCCGCCCCCCCGGAGCACTGCTTTACCGTGTTATATCCGAATTTGTGTTATATCGGGTCGCATTATATCGGGGTAGAGGTGTACATGATTAAGGGATGGTTTTAATAACTGGCTAATCAAGCGTTCTAGCGCCCAACCGATCAATAGTTGGCTTATAACTGTGCCTTATAACCATCTTATAATCCACACTACTCATGCTTGTTACAGGGAACCTGCCTATGACACCGATTAATCGTTTATTAACCCTTTATAAACCGTTAATAAATGGGACCTCACTGTGAAGTGTGATGCGGGTTAGCACAACGTTATTATTAAAAGGTATTTACAAGCCATTCTCCATTGCCTCGCACCTGGTGGCATCAGTCACCCCTGTGCAGAACGGGTGTAAAACGCTGCCGTTCTGAGCTGGTACAATTTGAGGGGCATTTGCACAGATGTAAATGACTGTAGCAGGTGCAGGGGAATGGGGAATCAGGCCCCAACTCTGCTACGCGTTTCCTAGCCCTCTGCACCCCAGGAATACGGACCAGTCCAAAACCACCATCAGCCCACCTGATGAACCAGGTGTTTGGAGACAATTATTCCTGCACTGGCCAACATGGGGCTAGGAGCATCCTCAGAGATAACCCCTGAGATTGGCAGGCCCAGTTTTCCCTGGGAGCTGACAATGGCTCGCTGTTACTGAGTAAAACCCTGGGCATGGGAACAGCTAGCACAATAAGGAGTGTACGGCTTTGCTATGCGGGGGATTCTCAGCTCTGCCACGTATAACCACTATAACTACGCATCGGATAGTTACGCACCGAAGGTTTGTTTTCACCATTTGCAGATCCTGTTGAAAAAAAATAATCAATTAATAAAGAGCCGGCACTGAATGCTTCTTAGTGGGCGCTCAGGCCGAGATGGTCAAAAGTGACGTGTGATTTTGGGGACTCAGCTGACAACACCTTGATGTCAAAAAACAAAGTGCGCCCACCCTCTGGAAATCAGGCCCTTTTAGGCATCTCAAGTTGGGCGCCCAAAAATCACTAGTCACTTCTGCAAATCTTTCCTTAATTCATTAGAGAACAATTTTCTCCAGCACTGGCCACCTGCCCTCCCATTTCTCCCACCTTCATCACTGCCTTGTGGGAGTCTTGATCTCTCCTGGCTTCTCACTGCCCAGCCCCTCCTTAATCTCCTTCCCGGATACCCGGCTGAAAGATCCAAAGAACGGCCAATCCCTAAGCTCCGTCCACTAGCTGTAGGGTTTCAAGGTGACTTTGCAAAAGGAAAAATCTGTGGTCTTTGTCCTGTTATTCGCTTCTTTATGAAGAAGGCCTGACAGGCTTGGATTTTTTTAATTGGATTGACAATAAGGGGTGTTTTTGTTTGGTTGGTTGAAGTTTTTTGTTTGGTTTGGGTTTTTTGCATATTTTTAGCATTAGAAATTCAGATCTCACCTGACCTACTTTCCCTGGGAAACTCTATCAATGACCAGAGAAGTGGAAGGGTTATGACATCAGATACTAAGGAAGAGAAATTAGATTTACTTCTGATAAGAAAGTGATTTTTATTCACACTCCTTAAAGTTCCTTGGGGCTTTCCCCCGTCTGTTTTTGTCAATGAACCTTTAACACAAATGCACGATACGCAGTCAGGAGAAAAGCTCTCTGGGTTAAAGATTCAATACTCCCTGCCCTGCAAGTCTCATCAATTAAGCGCTGAGCCTGAGAAAGCTCCCAAAACCATGAGAGATTCCAACGAGTCATCCAGCAATACAAGGGGAGACAAGACCTGACAATCCTGATATTGATAAGGGTAAAAACAAGCATAAAAATAACTTTAAAAAAGAAAATTGGGGGCCTTCTTCATCATAAAAGAACAACCCCTTTTCTTTCCCTCCTTTGCAGGTCACCTTTAAGAAGAGCTCTTGAAGTAAAGCAGGGGAAGGCACATGAATGCATTCTGGAGTGTCACAGGAGAGCTGCAGTGGCTGGCAGGAGTTTACAAACAAGAAACCGTTTCTGTGCTGAATTCCCCTCAACACTCCAGCTGGGAGGGACACAACATTGGCCTTTTCAACAAAATGGAAATTTTCTTGTAGAGATTTCTGTTTCTGTTGAAATTGGGGGGGGGGGGTGGTCAAAAACCTGAAAACCAGTTTTCCAAAACCAGAACTGAAAAATTCAGGGTTTTGCAGGGTTTCAATGACCCCTCCCTCAAAAAATTCTGTGAAAAAAGTCATTCCCTCTCAAAACGTTTTGTGGGAAATAAGATACATTTCCAGCTCTACTCGGCTCCCAATGGGTCTACTTCCTTTTCAATAAGCACCTTTGCCTACCACCTTCCCCACAGCCTGCCCTCAATCACCCAGGTACCACATGTCATGCCTCAGTTCATCTAGTGTCACCAGGCCAGAATGGAGAGCAGCCAGTTGCTCCATACCGCCTGCTTTCCGGATGGGTCTGACAGGAAACGACCCCTGCTCCCCTCTCTCTGAGGGAGGTCCTGAGGTGGCTCCTAGGCAGAGCTTTGGGGATTGGCCCTCTCTAACGACTGTAGGCTGACAGACATTCCCCAGCCTCTCTCTTTAGGGGATTATAAAGAATGCTCGTTATTTATAATACGTAACAATAATTTGTATTGTGGTAGCACCCAAAGGCCCCCGCCATGGATCAGGGTCCCATTGTGCTAGGCACGAGACAGAACAAAAAGCCAGTCCCTGCGCTGAAGACCTTACAATCCACGTGAGAGACAAGTAGGGCGACCATATTTCCCAAAGGGAAAATAGGACACTGCGTAGGGCTAGCCAGAGTGTCCGCACCTCCATGTGGGGCTGGCCCGAGTCGATCACCCAAGCCACCCTCCACCCCCATGTGGGGCTGGCCCAAGCCCTGACTCTCCCTTCCCCAAGCAGGGTAGGCGTTGCTGCTCGCCTGAGCCCTGCCTCCCCACCACGAGGGGCCGACACTGCCACTCCCTTCCCCGGCACGTTCCGCCACACCCCGCCTTTTTGACAAAAGTGCCTTTGTCCCGTAGTTGGCAAGAGCAAACAGGAGAAATGCCCACTTTTGCCGAAAAAGTCGGGACTGCCAAGACAGGGCTTAAAAAAGGGTCTGTCCCGGCCAACATGGAACATACGGTCACCCTAAGCGCCAGGTGCACCACGCAGCCAGGAAGAGCAGGAGCGAACAATGGGACAATACTGACCAGCATGAAAAGCAGCAGTCCCAGCAAACCAGCTGCCCAACAGCATCTGACATAACTGCTGAAGTTCTACAGCACCTGCTACCTGAAGACCTCAACGCACCTTGCTAATATTAATGAACTGGATTAAATTATTTGCTATGGGTTGCACAGCAGGTCTGTAGCAGAATCATAGACTATCAGGGTTGGAAGGGACCTCAGGAGGTCATCTAGTCCCACCCCCTGCTCAAAGCAGGACAAGAAATAGAACCCAGGTGTCCTGCACCCCGCAACTATTCAAGGTCAGCCTCCCCCAAGAACCCATAGAAACCTGCTTCCACTCAGAGGTACCATAGATGATCCCGTTGATGCAACATTTCTTGAAGGTCATAATGTTCTGCGTTAAGGTGCCCGTCTTGTCCGAGAAGATGTACTCAATCTGGCCGAGCTGGTCATTGAGGCTGGTGCTCCTGGCTTTTGCTGGAGTGTCCTTTGCAGGGTAATACATCTCCAGGTCCCAGTCAATAAAATAGCTGTTCACCATGTAGATGAATTCAAACCTAGGCGCCCCGGGGGAAGGAGACACAAAACAGGCAGGATAGTTATTTTAGCCACAGAGCGAGGGACGTTTGGGAATCTGACATCTTCCCCCTTTCTCTTTGTCTTACAGCTCGGAGCCTGCTAGAATCCAAAATAATGCAGCTCACTTAGGGTCAGAATTTCATGAGAGCTCAGCATTCTGGGTTGGGAGCAGGTTGGGTGCTAAGCTCTTTTGAAAATCTGCCCCTAATGGAAGGTGCTGAGTGCCAGAACATCTGTCCCTCAGCACCTTTGAAAATCTGGCCCTTAATGACCAACCTCAGACGTCTGAAGGTTCAGGTAAGGACCCAAAAGTCTGGAAGCTGCTTCTGACGAATCGGACCTCTGGTGTCTTCCCAGCTGGGCTGAGAATCTCAAGTCATTGGGTGAACAAGAGATTTCCAGCCATTCCTGCCTCTGGTCAGGATGGAAACAGAGATGTCCCAGAGATCTTCATCGCTCCTGCTTCCCAGGGGAGTGAATGTGCAAAGGAATGGGCAGAGGAGAATGTTAAACTCTTCCAGACTCAGCGAAGGCTTAGGTCAGGTTTAGAGGGGGAGGGAGAGTCTGCTCTCTCCTGTCCCTAGCCCTAACCAGCTATCACATTCCGTCCTCCCCACCCTCCAATCTAACATCCAGTTCCCGTACTGATGAGCACCGAGAGAGGCCCAGGCAAAGGAGTGGGAGCCAGGAGTGCTAATCCTGACTTGGTGCCTCAGGCAAGTCACTTCCTCCTGTGTGCCTCAGTTTCCCCACTCTGTAAAGTGGGATTAAGAACCTCACTGCGGCAGGGGATGATTCAGTATCTAATTTCTGTAAAGTGCTTTGAACGTCCACAGTGCTGCGCATTAACTGTATTTAGGCTCCCAGTTGTGTCCTCGTCTGAATCATTTAGTGACCAAATATTATCTTCATCATCAAGCTATCGCCACCAGCCTAACCATCACTCCAGACCACAACAGCCTCCCGTGCGCTTCTCTAGTGACTTTCATCTGAGGATCCCAAAGCACTTTACTCACATTAATGAATTTGAGCCTCACAGCCCGTCCTCTGAGCTAGGTCAATATTACCCCCTTCCACGGATAAGCAAATAGAATCAGTGACTTGCTCAAGGTCACGACACAGTAAAAAGCAGAACCCAGGCACGCTGACTCCCAGTCCCAGAGGCACCGATGTTCCCTGCTGCCCCGAATGGCAGGCTGACCCAGGAGGGCAAAAGGGTAAAGTAAAAGACAGCGACTATTTCTAAACAGCACAGAATCCGCTCTGAGGCTCTTACGTTATGTACATGGACATCGGTATGATGATGCTCAGAAGGATCATGAAGCCCCAGAAGGCGAAAAAGGCCTGCTCGGCAGGGCTTGTGCCGACATACAAAGCGGAGAGGTAGCTGTGCTCCGCGTGGAACTTCACGGCCCAGAATCCGGCGGCAAAGGCGAGACAGAGTGAGGTAATGACCAGCATCACGAAGATCTGGGGGCAGGGGAAGAAATCCACATCTCAAGGCACTGTGCAGGATTCCACCAGGCTCTTGTCCGAGGGGGTTCCTGGGCCAAGCAGCACCGCCCAGGCTTCCAGAGAGGCAGGAGTGAGGGCCTGGCTGTATTAGCCATTTTAGTAGCAGTGTAGCTACACTGGTGCTTTCCCCGTGCAGATAATGGCTGCACTGGTGTGAAGCAGGGTACTTACACGGGTGCAGACAGGCCCTTCTTCGGTATAACCCATGGTGTAAATTTAAACCACTAGAGTTATCTTAGATCCTCAGCTGGTGTGTCTTGCTCGCATGCCCTGGTCATACATGGCCACATTCGATGTCAGGAGGGAATTTCCCCCCAGGTGGTGAGCTTGGGGGGGTTTCACTTTCCATTGCAGCCGGGAGTGTGGAGCACCTTTTGTGATCATCTGGGAGTCTGTCACCTAATCAATTCCCTGCCATTGCAGGGCCCTGGGCACGGGTGGCACCTTGGTCTCTCCTGTTCTCGCCGTGTGACACAGTTGAGTCTCCTGAGGACTGACATGCTTTAGTCTAACTAAAGTCTTTGGGCTCAGTGCACGAGTTTCCGGGTGAAAATTAACTACGCAGGGAGCTCAGACTAGAAGATGGATGAAACCATGGATCCTGGTATAACCTTTGTGTGGACACTCTTGTTCTGGGCCTTTTTTCAGGTTACTGTATGTCACTTGGGAAGGGGTTTAGAACTAAACCCAAAAGAGCCAATCTTATACCGGAATAAGAGTGTCCACACGACGGAGGTTTATACCAGCATAACTAGATCTGGATAACTGGTAAAACGTTCCCATGTGGACAAGACCTTCGACATAGAGCCCGAGTTCTCAAGCTCTGCCCTGTTGGGGGGCCATATTTTACTTAGGCTAGGTCTACACTACCCGCCTGAATCGGCGGGTAGAAATCGATCTCTTGGGGATCGAATTATCGCGTCTCGTTGGGACACGACAATCGATCCCCGAATCGAAGCTCTTACTCCACCAGCGGAGGTGGGAGTAAGCGCCGTCGACGGGGAGCCGCGGAGGTCAATTTTGCCGCCGTCCTCACAGCGGGGTAAGTCGGCTCCGATAGGTCGAATTCAGCTACGCTATTCGTGTAGCTGAATTTGCGTATATTAAATCGACCTCCCCCTGTAGTGAAGACCTGCCCTTAGATGGGAAGCTCTTGGGGGAAGAGACTGTGTCATTTTGTTCTCTGTCTGTACAGCACCTAGCACACTGGGGCTCTGGTTCATGAGTGAGCTCCTCGGTGCCACCGGAAAACAAATTAATAATAAAATAATAATAATGACACATAACACAGTCAATAATAATAATAATATAGATACATCTCATGGGTATCTCCCTTCCCGGTTGTTATAGCTTAGACCCACCCCTGCCCATCCCTAGTCACATAACATCCCGCAGCAGCAGGTGCAGCCAGTGCTTATATGGCAAAGCACCGGTAGGAAAGTATTTAATGCACCTTTCGTTTCTCTCAATGCACCTGGCAAGCGGGAGGAGGAGCTAGCACCACGTGACCATCCACAGACCACCCCCCGCAAAGGGCCACAGAGCATCACGTGGGAGCCACCGACGGAGGATGGAAGGACAGAGCCAACGAGGCAGCGTAGCTAGAACGGGTAACTGAGAGTGCTGCCTTTAAATAGAGACTTCAGGGCAGACGGGATGGTCTTGTGGTTAGGGCAATGGCTCTGGGGAGCTGGGTTTTGTCCCGTTCCCCCCGAAACCTTGGGGACAAGTCACTTCCTCGCTCTCTGTGTGGGGAAGCCTAATTCGTTCCTGTTTCTGATGTAAGATGGTGATGAACACCACAGATGGTATTATAAATAGCCGTGCACCGTGTTATCTCCAAGATAAACACAATACAAGGCCCCAGGGGTAGCTGGTATCCAACCAGGCATCCGCAAGGAATAGTTGCTGTTCCTAGTGTTGATGTAAATAGGCCTGATGGGTCATTTGGTTGGAAAGTTATAAACACTCGAAAGCAGGAGCTTAGAAAGCCACGACTAGCTCATGTGTAGCTATCAACATAGCATCGTGGTCCTACCACCACGTTCACCCATCTGCCTGCTGGTCCCTCTGCAAACATATGTGGCCGTGGTTCTTCAAGACAGCAGGACAAGAATTAGCCTTTAAATTAGAATCTACAGACAGAGGATCTTTGCTCTCCAAGCCAGATCCTCAGGTAGTGGACACTGGCACAGCTCTACAGGAAAGCTACGGTCCATTTCCACCAGCTGAGAATCTGGCCCCCTTGACTTCAATGGAGCGAGGTTGATTTATACTTGCTTAAGACCTGGTCTTATTTAATTTAAACTGCAGCGCTGGGGAAAGGGGCTGGTCTCTTTGCTATCAGCGTGGATGGGCAGAGCCCACCGGGACAAGGACAGACCTGGCCGCTCAGGGAAGGGGCCATGGGGAAAGTACGAGAACAAAAAGCCATGCAAGTGTCCGAGCTGCACTAACTGCTGTGTGAGAGGCACTATCTTTGGAGGAGAGGGGCGTTCTGCCTCTGTCTTCGGTCCCTCTGCTGAAGCTGCCAGCAAGCAACGTTACTCTAGTTGCGATGCTGCCTTGATTGACACTGACGTCCAGCCACTAGGAACCGGACTGAGAAGCCCCCAACTCATCTCCCCTAGCAGCTTTCAGATGGCAATGACCGACCTGGGTCTGAACTGCCCCCCGCAACCCACCAGATAAAACGCTCCCAACTCCAGTCCCACACCTGCCTTCCACTCCATGCTGAGCCAGAGACAGAGCCACACCTCTGGGGAGTGGGCAGTCAGGCAGCGCCGGCTCAGCTGGCCAGCCCGTTTCTGGTGGAAGAGATGCACTTACTAAGATCACCAGTCTGTCCATCAAGCGGTCCAGCTTGGTTTTCTTCATCTTGATCTTCCCGCAGTTTTTCATAATTTTGGAATCCAATCCTGGACAAGACACGTTTTAGAAAGGAAAATAAAAAAACCACATGGCCCTGGCAATTGTTTGGCATGCAGGCTGCATCACACCCACTTTGCTCTCCAGACTGGGGAGAAAAGTCTCCCACATGCCCCATGATGTAGGTGTCATGACACGGTGATAGGAACTCATTCCAGGGAAGCCCGTTCCACCATCCCACGGCGTGGTCTAGTGATTAGACCAGGGGCCTCCTAAGTTCCACTCCCAGCTCTGCCACTGACCTACTGTGTGATCTTGAGCAATTCAATTCACCTTTGTGGCTTGGTTTCCCCATCTATAAACTGGGTATAATTACGTGTAGCCCTTCATACAGTCATTGGAGAGCTCCAGGTGCAGGGAACTCTAGAAGTGTTACTTGCACGTGGATGGCCAACCTTTGCGATTCAAGAGCTGCAGAGGCAACTTGCCAGGAGCATACATGTAATTTATTCCTTCGTTGCTGCCAGAATGATGCAAAGGGGCCTTGTAAACGAGGTATCGACGGCATTTCTAGTACGCCCATCCCAATGGCATTGCTTAGATAAACAGAAATCGCCTGCTGTCTGACATCACCTGCACTAGAGGCACCTGCCACTGATCAGAACCGAAGTTAGCAAAGAGCTACAGAGTTGGAAACCTCAGGCCACATGGAGCCCTCAAATCCCACCTTGGGTATCTGTGACATCGGGGGACAGTGGCAGGAGCATTAACAAGCCCAGGTGTCGCCTCGTCCTCTGCCCTTAGGGTAGGGATTTAATGAGCTCTCCAAAAGGCTGAAGACCCTTTACAGAGTTGGGCCAGAGGGACTGTTCTGTCCTCTAGTTCGATCTCCTTGATAACACAGGCCATAGAATTCCGATCTGGAATTTCTGCACCAAGCCCCTATCTTGAGTTGAGCTACAGCCTATTTTTGGAAAGACGCCCCGTCTTGCTTTAAAGACTTTGTCATGGAGACTCCAGCGCATCCCGTGGTAAGCAGGCCCAATGGTTAATTACACTCACATAAAAATGTGCCTTATTTCTAGCCCGAATTGATTTCACGCCAGCTACCAGCCACGGGATCTTGTTATGCCTTTGTCTGCTAGACCAAAGCAGCCCTCTACGGTCAGAAATCTTCTCTTGTAGGTACCTATAGACCAGGATCAAGTCACTTCTTAACCTGCTCTGTGACAAACAGATTGAGTTTCCTACGTCCTTCACTGCAAGGGAAAATCTGAAGGGCACCTGAGAATGTGAATCTAAACAGTGAATCTGCAGGTGTTTGTTCGCACGACCAACCACGCTACTCAAATGAGTCAGAACCTGCAATTACTCTTGTTCCGAGAACTATCCACTGCCCGGCGGCAGAACATAAGCTAGGCATCGGGAAGGAATACCCAACAGACCTGATAATATTGTGCAATGGTCTGGCAACTCCTAGGCATGTGTGGACATCATACATGGGGTGAGCTGTGAACTGGGCTGCGATAGTGCTGACACCGGGCGCAAAGGAAGTTTTACTGATGGGTTAAACACAGAGGCTATGCTGTACCTGGGGCTGATCATTGGTTCAGCAAGTTCAGCATCCCCTCCCCTCCCGCCAGCAGTGGCCTATTCTTGAGGCTTCACAGGAAGGCAGCCCATCCCCCAACACCATGGTGCACCTGGCCAATTACACCTAATGCACATGGGAGAGAACCAGGCCTCCCGCCGCGGCCATCCAGTGAGCAGCTTAGCCTACCCTTTGGCTGGCGGCCTGCTTCCCACTGGGCCCGTCTCCGTACTCAGGTATATGGACCAGTTTCCGCAGGGATGGGATAAGGCAGGTGAAGGCTGGCTGAGGGGCATAGGCTGCTTGCACTCACCCGCGTAGATAACGAGGCCGTAGCAGGTCTCGGTGTTGCGTATCCTGCAGCCTCGCAGCAAGATCTTCTCACTGTCCAGCGAGTACTTCTCACCCCTCCACTCCAGCGTGCCGATGAAGCTGTGCATGCGGCTGTTGGGCTCCTCGCAGGTCACTTTCCCTGGGACGCCAACAGCAAGGAGGGTCTGAATCACTCCTTGGCTTTCTGGGGAGCGACTAAAGAGAGGGGTCCCTCCTCCCATCCCTCACCCCTTCCGCCTGAGCGGGGGGACTGACACAGCTTCTGTGGAAGAAACTCAGACCAGGGAGATTTTGGCAGGGTAATTAAATAAATATCCCTGTTGCTCCGGGTTTATACTGGAGCCGGCGAGGCGAACGAAATGCGCCTTGCTCTTGCCGGACACTCACCGTCAAAGGCAGCCATGCTTGCCTCGCTCACCAGCTCCTGGTGCGTGGCCAGAAGGGCCTGTCTGAACTTCAGGTTGGTTTCCCTGAAAACAAGAACAGGTCTGAAAACAATCAGAAGGAAAAGCCACAAAGCGGGGGAGGTGGTGGTCGCTCCCCTAGTGCCATGGCTCTCGATCTTTCCAGATTACTGTACCCCCAAGATTCACCTCATTTAAAAACGACTTGCTTCCAAAATTAGACATAAACGTACAAAAGTGTCACAGCGCGCTAGTACTGAGAAATCGCTCACTTCCTCATTTCTACCTTATAATTATAAAATAAATCAATTGGAATACGAATGTTGTACTTACATTCCAGCGGATAGTACATAGAGCAGTATAAACAAGCCATTGCCTGTATGAAGTTTTAATTTGTACTGACTTCGCTAGTGCTTTTTACGTAGCCTGTTGTAAAATTAGGCAAATCTCTAGATGAGTTGATGGACCCCCAGGAAGAGCGCTGCCTACTCCCAGGGGTGTGTGTACCCCTGATTGAGAACCACTGACCTGTTGATCCCAAGGGTTGGAGAAACGTGGGCTGAGAGGGGTACTATTAATTATTACGATTTATGTGCATTATGGTAGCACCTAGCTGCCCCGGTTGAGTTCTGGGTGTTGCTTATACACGTAGTAAGAGACAGTCCCTGCCCTGAAGAACTTACACTCTAAATACACCAGACAGACAGAGAGGGGGAGAGCAAGGATCGTTATCCCCATTTTATAGATGGGGAACTGAGGCCCAGTGAGGTGACATGATTTGCCCAAGGTCAGGCAGGGAGTCTGGGCAGAGCGGGAGATTTCACCCAGCTCTGCAGAGTCCCAGGCCAATGCCTTAACCACCAGATCATCCTCTTTGGGCCCCTGTAATTATTGGGGTTATTCTGTACCCCAAACCCCTAGGTCCTAGGAGCGTGCCAGGTGCGTGCACCTCAGAGGCAAGGCCTGCAGGTGCTTCAGCAGCGAGGCCTTGTGGGCGCTAGCCCCGGTGGGTCCCAGTAACCGCTCAGACACAGGGCTGAAGGGCAGGTTGTCACTGGGGCTGGCAGGGACGGGGAGGGTGCAGAGGCCCTTGGTACAGAAGCTTACACAGTTAGTCACATTGAGCAACAGCGGTTCCTGTTCGGGCCCCAGACAGTCCCATCGAGGGTCAGGCCTGGTCAGCCCTAGGGCCCGGGGCACCGCTCCAGTCCAGTCTCTATTCCTGCAAACAGGCATTTGCAGGTTTCCAAGCCAAGCTCAGTTTGTGTCTCTCGTTGGGGCCCCTCCGCCCGGGCTCCCTG